ATGGCAGCAGAATCGGAGGAATTGGGGGGAATGGGGAAATACAATAAAGCATTTGATTATTTTTGGGATTTCATGTTTGCTTCCAATTGATTGTATAAATAAATCAAGCAACGCAATTTAAGGCTTTAATAAACACCAGAACTTTTATAGTCAAGCAAACCCACTCCAAGCAAGAAAATCCACTCAGGGCAAACGTTTCTGGACTAATTAAGACGCCGAAATGTCGTCGACAGCCTGCGGTTTTCCAAACAGGCGGATGGGATGGAATAGTACCTTGTGGTAGGTGGTAGGCGGTTGGTGGTTGGTGGTTATAGGCACCGGATGAGATTCCAATCCCAATCCCAAGCCGAACGCAATTAATTAATCAAGTACATGGATCAATTTACATGCCACTGCCACCACTAGCACGCTAGTGGGGAATAGGAGGTGTGGCAACTTGGTAACGGTTGTTAACGGCACTGTGCAGAGCCGACAAGAGACGACTCTCGAGATGTTCATCTCCGAGGCGAGGCGAGGCGAGGCAGCTGTGCCGGAAGTTGAGCCCCCCCAAAGAATGGTGTGGGGCTTATACCATAAAGGAAGATTGGATTGGGGAGAGTGTGCTGTATCTGAGAGCGCATCGAGTGAATCCTCTCGAGAGTTTTCGCCACGTAATAGCTGAAATTTAATGATTTGCTGTGCTGCAAAATGTTGAATACAGTTTGGGGAAACATTGCCGCCAGATATAAAGCTGTCGTATATATTATATATATATCTATATGTATATGGAATATTCCATTATGCTCAATCAGGTGAAAAAATGTTGCATAAATGCCGAGCGCCAAATAATATGCAATTAAATTTTTCCAGAGAAACCAACAACAAAATTGAATGATTATATGTATATACGAAATTTTTTGCTTCAATTAAATTTTTGTGTGGGCAAAACCACAACGAGATGGAATTGTCGGAAATTCCTTTATTAAACACAATATTAAATAGCTAATAAACCGAAGCATCCGCCACGGGGTGAAAACATTCATTTTCCTGCGGTTTTTCCCTAATGAAAATGGAGCAGAGGGCAAGAAATTGTGCGAACGCGTTGATGCGTGAGCAACTTGTTGCCTTGACTGCCACAGCTCACAGATACAGCTCACAGATACAGATACAGATACAGGTACACACGTGTATGTTTCGGTGTCTGTCTTATTATGCAAAGTGCTGCTGGAGAGGGGGAAGGGGGGGCATGCCCCCTGTTGAACGGAGTTTCGAAAAACAAACAAATTCATCTTTTTCTCGACATTTCGGAATTTCATTTTGGGAAGCAGCAACCAATGCAAATGGGGCGGGCCCCGGGGTGGAGGCGTATATCTGGAACAGCATCATCATCATCATCGTCACCATCGTCCTCGCAAACAACATCCTTATGGCTGCTGTTCCAATTCCAAATGATGACACGCTCGTTGCATAAGCAAATATTTCTAGAGACCACCCCCAACCATCGCCCCCCAATTGGCAATTCAGCCGCAACAGCACTTCTCCTCCGCTTCTCCACTCCTCCGCTCCGGCACTTGTTGTTGTTGATGCCAGCAGTGTTCACTGTGTTGCTGCTGTCACGGCAGCCTGACAGGACGCGATACTGACAGGACATGCTTTGCCTGAAGCTGCTGGGAGCCGTATGTCGCTGACAGATTCCGCCAACTTGAATTGATAAGCCGCTGATCCAGAATAGATTGGAATGCGTCTGCCCCTGTCTCCTCTTCAGCTAAGCTTTAACTTTAATTAACACCCAACCATCCTTGAAAATATATAGAATAGCTCTCTTGTGTGCGTGGCCTTTATCTAATCCAGGGCTCTCTTTTTTCTCAGGTCTGTCGCGCCCTGAACATCATCTGTGAGATGGAATACTTTGGCCTGGAGCACTGGACACCCAACCAGAAGGAGACGCAGACGCGTCAGTGGATCAATCTGAGGAATCGGCTGTCCTGCGACAGCGGCAGCAGCGGCAGTGGCATCCAACTGATGCTGGCCCTGCGCGTCAAGTTCTGGGTGCCCGTGCACTTTATCCTGCAGGAGAGTGTGCGCAATCTGTTCTACATGCAGGCCCGCCGGGACCTGATGGAGGGTCGGCTCTCGGCCAGCGACTGGAGCAATGCGGCCAAGCTGGCGGCTCTGCTCTGCCAGGCCGATGGCCTGCGCTTCAACGAGGCGGCCCTGAGGGCCGACTGCCCCATGAGGATGCGCCGGGAGTTGGCCCAACAGCAGCTGCAGCAGCAGCAGGCCCAGCAGCAGCGTCTGGAGCAGCAGCGCAAGGAGAAGGAGCACGTGCTGAGCTTCAAGAAGCGACGCCTGTCCAAGCAGAAGTCCATGGAGCACATCGAGAACTGTGCCCTGCCGCTGGCCGGGACCAGCTGCAGCCTGCAGCCGTCGCCCTCAGCCTCTGTCTCCGCCTCAGCCTGCACCTCCACCTCCACCTCCGCCTCCGCCACCACATCCCACACCTGCTCCCACACCCACTCGAACTCCAGCTCGAGCAGCCCCAGCAACAGCAGCAGCCAGACGGGGCTGGACGAGCGCCTGGCCAGCAATCCGCTGCGCATGTACGAGGAGTACGTGTTCCTGCCCAGCCCCGAGAGCGAGAGCGAGGCCGAGGCCAATGGCTCCGCGGCAGAGCCACCGTCGGACTACCTCCGACAGATCGCCACCGAGCACGGAAAGCTGGCCAAGCTGCAGATGAGCCCCAAGTCGGCCAAGTACTGGCTGCTGCAGTCCATCCAGGACCTGGCCGGCTATGGCGAGGAGCTTTTCAGCGGCGTCACCACCAACGAGAGCGCCACTCGGTGCGACATTGCCGTGGGCGCCCATGGCATCACCGTTTGCCGTGGGGGTGAGAAACAAAGGTGAGTCTCGCCGGCTAATCCCCCCCCCAAAAAATCCCCGAAACTAATCGTCTGCATTCCTTTTCGTTAGCATCACCTTTGGCGCGATTGCCGCTGCCAAGTCGCTGAGGCGCACCTTCAAGCTGGAGTACGTGGACGATCACAACGATCGCAAGGAGCTCGAAATCAAGCTGCCCAAGCAGCCCATTGCCGCCGGCCTCTACCGCTCCATTACCGAGCGGCACGCCTTCTATGTGTGCGACAAGGTGCGGGGCGTTGTGACCAATCAGTTTACCCGGGATCTCAAGGGCACCATTGCCTCCATGTTCAAGGAGGACACGGAGCTGGGCAAGCGCTATGTGTTCGACATCCAGCACACGTGCCGGGAGGTGCACGATCAGGCCCGGAGGATTCTGCACGAGCGCGGCGGCGATGCGGCTGTCCAGGCCGGGGCTGATGGCTGTGCGGCTGCTGCTGCCGTTGCTGTTGCTGTTGCTGGTGGTGTCGCCTCCGAAGCATTTGGCGCTGGGGCCGGCCCCAGTTCAGGTGCTGGTGGTGGCTCCATGGCCGGCAAGATAGATTTGGCCATACGCGAGAAGGAGGCGCGTGAGGCGGCGATTGAGCGCTGCGTGGACACGCGCATATCCGAGGCCATGCAATGCAAGATCTGCATGGATCGCGCCATCAACACAGTGTTCAATCCGTGCTGTCACGTGATTGCCTGTGCCCAGTGTGCCGCCAGGTTAGTAGTCCCCCTCCTCCCCACTCTCCTGCAACCGCATCTAACCGTGTCCTCCCATCCCGTTACAGGTGCAGCAACTGTCCGAATTGCCGGGTGAAGATCACCAGCGTGGTCAAAATCTATCTGCCTCCGGAGCTGCGCACCAGCCAGTCGGAGAGCGGCGGCGGCAGCGGCAGCGGCAGCGGCAGCGGTGGTGGCAGCAGCAGCAGCACCAGCCACATCCACAGCGATGGGCCCAACGACACGGAGCTGCAGCTGGACGAGATCTCAACGGCGACAGTGACGGCTGAGGCCACTGCTGGAGGAGCAGTGGGAGCAGGAGCAGGAGCTGGAGCTACAGCCGAGCCTGGTGGCGGCCAGGCCAAGGTCACGACGGCCGCCTAGAATTGGCTGTGCTCGCTGCTGTTCCGGCTGATGGAATGGGTGTGCGTGCCGATTGTCTGAGAATCATCCGAAAACCATCCACTATGACCATAATCTAGAGGGAACAACAAATCAAAATCAAAAATCAAAACCAAAAACGAATCAAACAACCGAATGAATGGAATGTGCGGGGAGGGAGGGGATAACAGAGAACTCTGTCAAACAATCTTAGCTATATCTTTACTCAAGTATTCTATGGACATAAGAAACTGGAACCTAACTCTAACGTAACTCTAACTCTAGCTAGCTTTAGATACATCTACATAGATATATATATATATGTATTGTAGGATCGATCTGTATACCTGTTTAGCTGTAGACTCTATGAGAAAGTGCTATTTAAACTCGTCTAAGACTTCAATGCCTAGCCTATACGCCTAGAATCTATAACTGCAGATTGTTTCATATACACCCTATACACTATATATCTATATATATATATATACGATCGTTATAGATCAGCGATACCTTTTACGACATCAGAGATGATGATATATGATAATGTATAACCCATGAATGTACAACATAGCGACTACTTACATCGGTGTTACTTACTAAATGTTAGCTAATTTTACCAACTAAACTCGAGATGTATTTACTAATGCTTAGACACTGTTTAGTATTTCCCACAACCCGACCCCGACCCCTTAATGAAGCCCCAATTCTCATACGTAGGGTATATTCTGAGTGTTGTGTGTGTGTGCATAGGACAAGCGTACAATAATCGCAAATCTAAGGAGCAAAAACTAGTACTAAGTACCTGCAAAAACCTGCATATAAACGGAATCAAATTACGAAAAGAAAAAGAAGAAAAGATATATCTCCGCAGCAGATATTAAATAGTCACTAATAATAAATGTTAACCATATACATACATACATATATACATACATATATATATAAAACAAAAAACTACCCATGAAAAAACCAGAAATTTATGTTTTATTTTTTGAATCTATTTTTGATTTTCACACTCCTTTCTCCACTTTGAACTGATTTTAAAAGTTTTGATTTAGTCTTTGGTTCTTCTGTTTTCCATTTGATTATTTTTTGGCCATACTTAAAACTGAATATGATATGAAATAAAGTGTATTTTCAATATATGTATAAATATCGCCAAAATCCTCTCATGTCCTCTACAACTACACCTCATCGAACTCTCCTCACATTATCGTGTTGTTGGTCAATTTTGGAGTTTCCTCTGAGGATGCTGCACCTTCTTTTGGTGGTTCAGAAGCAGTCAACCCTGCGGGGGGCGTTAGGAGCAGGATCAGTAGACCATCTAGGAAGAAAGGATACTCTCTACCCACAGATATGGTCAATCAAAACACCCATCAGTCGAATGTAGCTTAATTTGGGGGATAGACTGCCGCCTGTGCCAGCATTGGACTCCGCCGTTTTGATCGTGTTGTTGCGTTCATAGCTAACGATGGGCTCTATCATGTTAGCAAAAATAAGGTGGGGCAGTAAGATTTGCTTGGGCAGCATTTCCTTCTTTAATGGCTCTTCAATGTTTTGCTGGATTCGTTTAAAGGATGTCTTCAGATCATCCACGAATTGTGAATTGTTCAGCATTAAAATAGATTCATTGATCTTTTGGGATGTCCCATCATATTTGTTTGTTGAATTTCGTCGTGTTTCACGGGGAATTGTGGTCGTTAATAATGGACAGAATGCCAATCCTGCAATGGAATAGAGCTTGATTTATTGCATTTCTGCAACTATATTCTTACCTATGAGGATGGTGACAATAGCAACCATATTTAATCTCATTTTGTGGTTTTGTTTCCCGTTTTCAATGTTTCCGTTGAATACAATGTTCAAAAGTTGAAACTATTTTCCGTTTGAATACAATGTTCAAAAAGTTGAAACAATTTTCATGGATGTGGCTACGCTGTGTTGCTAACGACAGGTGGCAGCACTGGCTCCAATCGATACTTTGCATCGATATTGCGATCAGTTCAGCTATCGCACACCAAATCGAACGACTGCCATCACCATTGCGGAACAAAACAAAGTGGTATATTTTTTAAATAACACGGTATATTTTGGTATATTTCTGAGGGTCACATCGTATAACTTATCGGATTTTCTTGGCACCCCGTCTAGCTCACACACCTTGCAATTTGTATACTTTTCATAGTTTTTTCTAGTATTTTCCAGTATATCTTAAGACGCGTTACGGTCTCACCCTCTTGTCCAATGTAGAAACCGCGTAGAAATGCCACTTAGAGCCATGTCGCAGGCCACATTGAATCGAATCTTGATCAGAATCGAATTCCTGGTTGTTTGCCATCAAAATCTCAATTTTTTGGATAACGGAGGTTTTTCACACTGGCGCGTCCATGGGGTTTATATGAAAAAAATCGGCCAACAATTTTTGAAACGTTCACATTTCCCCTTCAGGTGTCGCTTTTGTTATTTACATGAAAATATAGTAAATATGTAGCAAATGTGTAGTTAGCGTGTAGTTAACATGTGATTAAATTAATTTAGTGGAAATTGTGGTTGACCGGTTTTGTTTAAACCTTATTTTATAAACAATCGAGTTATTATGATAACTTCTAGTTAACCAGTCTTGTAGGAAATTGATGCAAGATTCTGATAAAATTATGAGCTCAGACCCTCAGGTTTTAGCTAGCTACTTATATTCCACGGAATATCCAAAACGATTATCCAACTTGAATACAAATAATTCGTCAGTATATTTACGGTATATTTTTTTAAATGTGACGTAGTTTCAGTATATTTCTGAGGCAGCTCTTGTGAACCTGCACTTTTCTATAACTTTACCTCAAATTAAATTGTACGTAAATAATTGCGCTAGTCGGCAAAAACTCGCGGGTGATTGTGCCAATTATTAAGATATTCGAAAGCACCTGCGAGACACTCGCGAGTTCCAGCAAATCGCCAGAACAACAGCAGCAGAAGCAGCGCGCCAGCGCCGCAGCAACAAGCGTAGGCAAAAAGCAAACAATTGGATAAGCGCTCGCTCTGGCAGCAGCGGCAGAAGTAGAGAGAGAGAGAGAGGAAAGTGTTGGGGGCACGCTGCTTAAGGCTGATAGAAACTCTTTAAGCGTTTAAACCTTGGCTAAAAGTTCAACATTATTACGTACAAATATTGTTCTTGTTGTGGCTGGCTGCTGTTGACGTGGGGGCAGAGCAGCACCAGTTGCAGCGCGAGCAGCAGCAGCAGCGTGTGATCGAGATTCTCGTCGGTTGTGGTTGTCGTTTTCGTCGCCGGTGAAATGGTGTCGACTGTCGTTGCCCTCGTCGTAGCCGTCGCTGTCGCCGTCACCGTCACCGTCTCCGTCACTGGCTCTGCCACTGCCTCTGTCTACGTTTCTGGTGCAGAGACCACCGCAGTGACCATGAAGCGAAAAATGCTGTTCTGAATTCTGTAAATGTTGAATAAAGTGAGAAATTCAATTGCACAAATGCACAAATCAGCATGAAAAGAACAGAAAAGTGCAATAATAAATCAATTAAGTTTTTATACGCGTAATTAAAAGAAATGAAAGCCCAAAACAGCTGAGAATACCAATCCAATCATATTCCATTTGTGCCCTTTAAAGCTTCAAAAGCAACAACAAAGAATGTGAGAAAGAGGTGCGAATGAGCCGAAGAGAGTGTGAAAAGAAAGTCAAGAAAAGTGCCTGCACCCAAATGTGCTCTCAGTTAAGTTAAATCCCCATTGAGTCTTCCTGCCCTGCTGTGCCCCTCTGCTAAGCGCCAAATGGTTCAACGGATTTAATTCCCCCAAAGCCCGTCTCCCACGTGGTTCATCCAGTTGTTAACTCTCCTTGGGCTTCCTCAGTGAGCACACACACACACATGCCTGGGATTAGCAGCGGATAGCGACTGGAATAACCCAAACAAAACCCCAAATTACAGGTCAGTATCGGAACAATCAGTACAATCATTCAAATAACGTTTCTTCAATTGGTCGGATCGCCTTGAGTCGGTGGAAACCGGTTTTCGGTTGGTTCGTCCAGACGCCAGCCAAATTGAAAATTCAATTAATTTAAATCAATCAAAGTCTGGTTTCCATTCCGAATCATAGACCAAGTATTTCGTAATACACGTAGTGCAATTAAAAATTGCATATGTACGTTTGAAGAAGATATATTGGCTATATTGATTACAGATCACCCTGTTCAAGAATTACATTTTTGATTAACTTTATGAAAACCCAACGGTTTTATTAAAACGGTTATTCAATTTATCGGAAAAAAGGGTGAAAGAAAAATAAAAATGATGATTTACACAATAATTAAATGTCAATTCATTGGATCCGACGTATCACGGCTCTTCCGTACCCGAGACCTTTGGCCAACCAGAACGGTTATTAATTTACCATTTTTATTTGTTTTATTCCTTTTTGATTGGCGGATCCCCAGCCTCGAACCCTCGACCGTTCTCGGGCCCTTTTTAGCCGTCCTGTCCAGGTTTTTCGGGGGGCTCTTAATGGAAAAAATGTTGTGCGGGCTTTTGCTTTTGTTTCCCCAATTTCATACGCTTTCATGGAGAGGGTACAAGCATTTTGGTCAGGGGTTTGCAATGGCTATGGTCTTAGATAGTTCATGGTCTTTTCTTGGTCTATTCGTCAATTTATTTCTGTTAAAAAATCTATCTTATTTGCAAATATATCTGTTCGAATCGGTAGAAGAGATTGCCTTAGAAGTCCTTGCTATAGATGCGTCTGGAAGGGTATCCACGGCTTCGCCTTCCTCCTTCCTGTTTCCCTTTGCAACTGTTTGGAAGGGGGGAACTGTGGGGAAGGGAGAGGCAGTGGCAGAGACGACGTCCTGCTATAAAATTGCATGTCCAAATGCTGGCATTGGTGTGCGTTGCGCTCTTTGTGCATGTGTGCGTCTGTGCGTGTTTTTGTAGCATTTTTATTTTTGTGCGAGAGTTTATTGCGCGGAATGCTATTTAATAAATTCCATTTTATGCTCTCTCTCTCTCTCTCCCTCCCCTCTTTGTCCCCATCTCCCATCGGTCGGGACAGGATTTATGTTTTTCATGTCGCTATTGTTGGCTCTGTTGTTTCTGTCTCTTTCGTTCCTGTATCCTTTCGGTTTTGGCCAATGCAAATTTTAAAATTCAATTTTGCTCGTAACTTCAATTGCAACAAAGAGAAAATATGTATGAAAAGTGCGAATATTCGCAGTTATTTCCACATCCTCTCCTCTTCTCCTTGCCATTTTTCTGCTATTTTTTCATATTTCAATTTTTAGATTTATTATTACATTTTTGTTCCGCTGAAAGTTGGCAAAAAACTTCCCAAAACTCAGCATGGCTCCGGTGTCTCCCCGCAGCGTTTAGTTTTTTTCAGCACGCCCCCCTCCCCCTGCAACGAACAAAATAAAAACAAGTGGAAACTGGCACAAGAAAAATACGAAGAAAATACGAGGAAAATCAACGAACAATGAAGACAGCGAAACTTAAGCACCTTAACTCACTTTGCAGGCTCCTCAGAAAATAACCAAAAAATAACGGAACAGAAGGCGAAAAAAAATAAGGAACGCTTTAGTTGATTGCCTCGACAATGACATACCCAGTACTTCCATTGCACGGGCACGGCACGCTTAAGAGCTGCTACGAGAGAGCCCTTTACTCTTTATTTGCGTTTTATCCGTAGATTATACCGATATTTCATATGCAGCTATGAAATGAAATATACCCCTGCACTCTACGATTACTGGGTACAAAAAAAAAACCATAATCGTGAACAGAAGGAGCAACAGGAGGGAGGAGAATGGGTGAATGGGAATTCCCAACTGCGCTAAAAACTTTCGCAACTTGTTCTTTCTTGTCCTGCAACTTGTTCAATGCCCTCCTCCCCCCCGCCCGTTCTCTTCGTGAAGGCAACTTCCGTTCCATTTTCGCCTCCAGCTGTAACGGCATAGAATAACAAAAACAAAGTCAAGAACATCAGAGATAAGCTTGAGAGAGAGAGCATAAAATGTAGAAGAGAGTGGCGAAAGGGAGAGCGAAAGAAGTTCAATTGTTAAAGTTACAAATTTCATAAAAAGTATAGAGGGGGGTAGAAGGAGCGGGAGAGAACTTTAAAAATGCTTTGCTGGCTTGGCACTACCAGTGCCACGCCTCTGCCCTCCTCCCCCCCGCTACTACTCTTTCTAAAAAAAAAAGAGCGCAGAAAAAAGTAGAAAATTCAAACAAAAACAAGGACACGAGGGCCATAAAAATGTTCTTATGTGAAGCAAGCAAACAAAAACTAGAAATTTCACTGTATTAACTAGTTGGACTGTAGAGATACCCTCTACTAAGCTATTTCTTGTGAGAAGTACATATCCAACTACAAGGAAATCTCTGGGCAGTGAGATGCAAAGGCAGTGAATAATCGATATATCCTATGTACTATATACAGTATCTTAGGTGTCCTTTGTGTTAGGAAAAGATTTCATTCGAGTATTTATTTATATTTATATTATATTTATTCAAATTAATATTAATATTAGAATATTTGATCCAATATCTCTCTATTATATGAACAAGTTTTGTGTCGTCGTCGTTGCCCGATATTTTACTCATAACGGCGCTAGCGAGTGAAGCGAGTGTGCCAGGGGGCTTTCCTTCTAGTATTTCTTATCTAAATTAAATATATTTCATATTTAAATTAAATATATTTTATATTTAAATTAAATTTATTTCATTTTTAAATTAAATATATCTCATATTTAATTAATAACATCTCATATTTAAATTAAATTTATTTCATTTTTAAATTAAATATATTTTATATTTAAATTAAATATATTTCCCACAAATTTAATAAAATATATTTATTTTAAAGTGTTTTATATTCAGTTTATAAATAAATTTATTTTGAAATCAAAATGAGTTATATTTAATTTTATTATGTTTGAATTTAAAACTATGGGTTTGGTGTGTTTCTTGTGACTGTGCTATTTTTTCTGTGTACGTATTGCTGTCTAAAATATTTATTGTATTGTCGATCAGTCGGACATCGGTGCTCTACGTTTCAATGCGAACGCAGCATACCCTTTAGCTCTAAAAATATCGGGTATAAAAACTTTGAAAACAACTGCAGGACGAACGAGTGTGGGGGAGGGGGGCAGAACAACAGCAACAATGTTCAAGTGCAGGCTGAGGCACACACACACGCGAACACACACTCACGAACAGTTGAAAAACAACTCTTAAAAGCTTGCAAAAGCAAAGAAAAACGCAAAAAGCAAATGCATATAAAGTGAAATGAAAGCTACCCGCGCGCGCTCTCCCTCTCTGAAGTTCTGCAGAAACAAGAAGCAAAAACCATTCGGCAGAAAATCAATGAAAATGTGCATTCATAAAAAATAATTGAAACATGAAAAGCCACCGATCTGTTTGCTTTTTTATGTGCACTTTACAACTTTATTTTGCTGCTGCAGAAACTAAATAAATTGTTTTGAGTAAATAATGAAAAATGTAATGGGTTTCCTAATATTTTGATTGGATAACTTTACACGAAAATAACCTTTATTGAATTGTTTTGAAATACCCTAACCTATCCTCTGTAAGGGTATGCCCTGTTTACCTCTGTTTACCGCTTAATTTCATAATTTTTGGGGTGCGCTAAACGAGGACAGCACCGAATTGTTTAGCAAATGTTGTGGTGGTGAATCTGCTTTGCTTTGATAAAGAAAATTAGCAACATTTCGATCTGGTTTTGCGTATCAGCAAATAATCGATATATGTATGTACATTTGGGCCCCACATTTAGCCGGATTATTCTGGCCAGCTCGAGTGCGAGATATATGCAAATAGCGTTCCCAAAGTTTCGCTCATATATTCCCTGGGACTGGGACTGGGGCTTTCCTCGCCTCCGCTTTTCCCCTGCCATTTCGCTTGTTATCAGCTTTTCGAGTGTTTCCTTTTGAGAGACTTGCGTCACATGTCGCTGAAACTGTAATACATATTAATGAAAACAAATGCGCAGAAAAAAAAAAGGAAAACACACTGCCACTCAAAATAAATACATCGCGACTCGAGACAAGAAGCAACGTCCGACAAATCGTCGAATCACTTTAGCATGCAAATATTCTTCTCGCATATTCTTTCTTTTCTTTTTCGCTTTATTTATTTATACTTCCCACATTGATGCTCTCCACGGAAATCAGGGGATCATGATCGCCGAGTGCTGCGGGTTATCGTGGGCTGCGATTAAATAGGTTATCGCCGTCGGCAATCGTTCGATTAACGAGCGTCGAATTTTCTGTTTTGCTGGCAGGCTTTTACCCGAGAGCGGGGAGTGGGCAGCGGGGAATCGACTGAGTTTACAGCTGTTAAATGGGGGCTTATGAAGAGAGGAATGGGTATATTTATTCCGTTTTTTCCCCGTTTATAACTTCTCATCGAACTCTTTCTTTGATTTATTTCCATTGCAGCTGAAAATATTATGGAAAAAGCGAAAGCGTATATCAAAAATGAACTTCGTGGTGGCATCCAGCCACAGCAGCAGCAGCAGCAGCAGCAGCAGTCCCTTCAATCCGAGCCAGCAACCACGCCCACACCACCATCAGGACGAGGTCCCTCTCCGGCCTCGTCCAAGCAGCAGCAGCAGCTGTATCCACACTGCGAGCTGATGCCCTCCCCAGGAGCAGCTGCAGCAGCGGCGCACCGAGCAAGGACACCCAGCGACCTTTACCACCAGCATGCCGTGTCCCTGGGCTATGCGCAGCAGCAGCAGCAGCAGCACTACTATCCGGCCCATACGGGGGTCAAGTCCACGGGTCGGGCATCGGCGCCACCCGATCACCACATGGCCATTTCCGTGTGCTTTGTGTGCGGCGGCCAGGGGGGCTACGAGATGCAGGCCCTACGCGTGCGTCAGAGCCCGGAGAGGCCGAACGAGTCGTTTTTCCCGTTTCTGGAGCGGCACGAGCCGCCCCACGGGATGGCCAGTGTGACGTCCAGCCAGGAGTATGTGTGGGCCTGCCTGCTCTGCTTCCGGTTCCTCAACGAGCAGTGGGACGCGTACGAGCGCCACAAGAAGCCCCTGCTGCAGCGCATCTATCACATGAAGCGGCTGGACGGCAAGGGCTACATTGGGGCGGATGTGGCCACCCAAAGCGAGTACGCGGCCCAGGTGCTGGGCCTCAGTGCGGAGCATCTCGGCCAGAACGGGCTGGCGGAACTGCATGGCATGGATCCCTACGCCCTGGCCCGCCACTATTCCCCCCACCAGCCACCGGGGACGCCCACGACGACACCTCATCACCTTAGTACCTCACGGAATGCCTCACCCTCGCCCATATACGGTGGTGCGGGGGGTGCGGGTGACTATTATCCACGGACTGCCACCACGCCCACAAGCAACCACAACAGCAACAGCAACAACAACAACAACAAATACCTGAGTCGGCCGCAGTCGCGGGACATGCCAGTGGCCTCGCCCTCCTCGCGACCGCCCAGCGAACCGCCGGCCCCAAAGAGCAGCAGCGGTGGCTACTCCCAGCACAAATTCAAGCCGGGCAACGCTCCCGGAGCGGCTGCATCTCCGTATCCGGGACAGTCGACGAGCTACCATCCCGCCCAGTACCAGCAGCTGCAGCAGCAGACGGCGGCCTACCACCTGCTGCAGCAGGCGGCAGCGGGCGGAGGAGGCGGTCCTGAGCACCCGCAGGCCCACTACAAGGGCAATCCATACAGTGCGATGCCCTCGCCAGGCAGCGCACACCTGGGGCCGCCCCCGACGGCCGGCCTGGAGGACGACAACGCCACTGTGCTGGACCTGCGCAACGTGAGCGCCAGCGTGAGTGCCTCGACAGCGCCGCGACAGAGCGCCGCCTCGGCCGCAACGACCAGTCAACCGCAGGCGGAAGTGGGCATACTGGACCTCTCCATGCCCGACAAGAACTCCATCACGGAGGTGTGCTACGTCTGCGGGGACGAGCAGCGTCGCGGCAGCCTCCTCGAGCTGAGCACGGTGAAGTCCAAGGAGTCGCGTCTCGGCCAGTCCGTGGCCTACTTTCCGCTCTTCAACGAGCAGCATCCGCGCCCCGCCCGCTCGCGGCCCAAGGATCCGCGGGGCATGATCCAGGCCTGTCTTCCCTGCCACGAAGACCTCATGCAGCAATGGAACGCCCAGCAGGTCAGTAAAATATTTCAGCAAAGATCGATTGGCATGTATCCATATGGAGCAGCTTTATGGGGAATTGGGGGACTTTTCCCATTCGAATGCCTGGCTGCAAACGAGGTCGAGGGGAAGGTAGTTGGAATAGTTAACTAAGAGAGAGAGAGGGAGAGGAAATTTCCAATTGATCAGCCTCAATAGCCGCATCGATGTAGTCTACCTCTCTCTCTCCCTTATAAATATTTTAAAAATATTTTTCTACCATTTCCAATGGCATTAGATATTTCTGTACTGGAGAAAAAAAGATTGAAACAATTCTCAGAATTGTTTGTGCTAACGAAATATGCATTTCATTTCGTTTCCGAGAATATATGGAAATTCTACGTAAAAAAATCTGGGATTTTCCGAATTCCCAATCGAACAGAATTTTCTTTAAATTTCACCAAAATTGCATTTGTTTAAAGCTAATAGAAATGTTTATTGATGCTGGCATATTTCCCTACTTCCCCGCGGACTCTATACAATATCTCGCCGTTCCCTCGTTTGTTATTTATTTTGTGAAAATTTCCATATTGTTCAGTCTGGCATGAATAATTGTATTAAATAAAAACAGTAGGCTTGCGGGTGGCAAAAGGGGTGGCGTAAAGGGAGGCGTTGGATTAAAGAGGAAATGCAAAAATAGCGCAGCTGTTAGACTTCCTGTATCAAAGATTTGATACCCTATAGCCTGTAGTTGCCATTTGGAGTCTATTACCCGCTCAAAAGTGCCATCATACCCTCGTGCGGGGTATCCAAAACGGAAGAGACACAAATTTGCGGGAGCGAGTACTTTTTCGCGTCACACGAATCAAAAATAAACAAAACGAAACACACACACAGACAAACAAAATGTTGCCACAGCATCCGACCACGATGATGAAGAGGATGATGCCCATAATGATCTTGCGGCTGGCTGCTCTTGGCTGTCGCTGGCGCCATGGCGGTTGACCCGAGAACAAGACCCTCTCCACTCTGCAGACGATTAATCAGTGGGGTCGGGTCGGTCGTCGTCGTCCACAAGCAGGCGTCCCCGCCTTGGCCCCTGCCCCTCCCCCTCCCCCGAAACAGGAGGAATTATCAACATCCCACCAGGCTCTGACAGAGGGTCAGAACGAGAGGGAGAGTGTGTGTGTGTGTGTGTGTGTCAGTGTCAGTGTCTGGGAGTCAAGGGGAGCGAGCGGCGAGAGTCACAGATAGGCGGCGAGTGTTGTGGGAATTTTGACCGCAGGGTCGCTTGTGTTTCTGATTAAATTTTAATAGCTTTCCGCGATTATTTCTCTTCTTTTTATTCGCATTTTCGTTGCTTCACAGGTATACCCTAGAAGAGGGTATCCCACTGTATACGTCTTGATGGCACCTTTCCCCTCGATTGGGATTCCTTTTCCGGGAGAATCTCCACAAACGATTGCTTTGAAAGGGTATCAAAAGCGTCGCCTACCGAAACCAAATTTTAATAGCTTTCCGCGATTATTTCTCTTCTTTTTATTCGCCTTTTCGTTGCTTCACAGGTATACCCTATCAGAGGGTATACACTTTATCTTGATTACCTTTTGATGGCACCTTTCCCCTCGATTGGGATTCCTTTTCCTGGAGAATCAATAGAAACGATTGCTCGGAAAGGGTATCAAAAGCGTCGCCTACCGAAACCAAATTTTAATAGCTTTCCGCGATTATTTCTCTTCTTTTTATACGCATTTTCGTTGCTTCACAGGTATACCCTATCAGAGGGTATACACTTTATCTTGATTACCTTTTGATGGCACCTTTCCCCTCGATTGGGATTCCTTTTCCTGGAGAATCCTCACAAACGATTGCTTTGAAAGGGTATCAAAAGCGTCGCCTATTAAAAATAGGTACATTTTTTTGGTGTTTTTTTTTTGTTTCTCATTTTCAGCTGTTGGTTCTTTTTGATTCGATTTGATTTTATTTCTGTATGCGAAATGTATTTATAATTTTGAGACATCGCCCTGGTTTTGCGGCCATCGATGATGGCAGTGGAGCGTGTCCCAGGGGTGTACAGAGATTGCTTAGTTCTAGATTCTAGATGATTCACATTTTGTGTTATTTGAAATACTTGAGAAATGTGTGTAAATATAAGCAAGTGTGTCGGACAATACAATATTTAAAATATTTTCGGGTAAAATATACTCACGCGCGGAATCTGGGAAATATCACAAAAAAATAATTTCAAATATCAAAGAAAATTCCCAAAAATATTTTTGTAACGCCAACAAATTGGTTCCCCTTTCAAAGGACTTGTACAGACATTATTATTCGTCTTGGGAACTCTTTTAGCAGCCCTCTTATTCCACACACTATTACATGCCCCCTCTCACTCTCACTCACTCTCTCTCTTACTCTCTCTCTGCCGCCACCTACGGCACTTTTTCTCACGCAATGAGGCCCACAAAAGTGGACATTGTTTTGCCCAATACCACCCCATTTTTCAGTGTACACCATTTGAATTTTAAATTCCAAACGCAAATATTTACAACATGCCATAAAAATGCAAAATTCATTGACGGCTGCGGGGGGCCGGGGCAGGAAGAACACTGTGTAAAATGCCGGATAAATAATTAAATGCCATTAATTGGAATTGTGTAAATTTCGCAGGGAAAAAATTCAAATTTAAATGAAGCACAAACACAACAAAAGTATATGTGTGTGCAGTGGAATAAAAGTGGATGCACATGAAACAATAAATACATAAATAAAGGCAAATAAAACAAGGAAAAAAAAGGGCATCGGAAGGCATCGAAACATTTAATACCCTGCACAAGGGACACAGAACGCTTCTCCACTCTTACTCTTTTGGTGATTATTTTCTTTTGTTCCTGAAATCCTGAATACCTCAAGAACGCCTGAACCGATTTGAAGGGATTTTCTTTTGTAGGATTCGTCTTTAATCTATACATTTTATCAAATAGCTTTTACTTTGCGAACATTTAGAAAGAATCATTATACCCTCATAATAACTAGGGTACATGAAATTTGCAAATTGCAGGCGACAAAGAGACAGATTGGATTGGATCCCTATTCAGGGAAATGTCCATTGAATATATGTGTAATTACACACGGTTGGAAAACATTTATAAAGGACACTGTGAATGGGATAAATTAATTAAATTTAACCCAATAAGCCATGGAAATTTCATTTCTGGCTGGCAGCCAAAAACTATCTACAGCACGGCCACCACCACCAAGCCACTCTCCTTCGCCCCCTTTCCCGGCCCCCCCTCAACACAACGCTCCACAATGACGTGCACAAATTTTCATTGGAAAATGAAATGTGCGAAAAGCAATTTAATTATTTATCCCCAATTTTCGCTTAAAGCGAAAACACAACTGAAATGAAATGAAAAGAAATCAAATCACGCCAAACTAAAAAAAAATATAAAAAAAAATCAAAAACAATTTATAAATCGATCTGGTTTGCTGCTGGCTCGATGCCAGAGAAACGAAAATAAACGGATTGCCATTAACTGAAACTAGAAATGTTATAAACAAATCGGGGGTGAACGAAACGGCTGATGGATACCCTGCATCCTGACAAATGGGTACATAAATATACGAATTTATCCACAAGAAATAGTGGGGATTTCATTACGGACCTAAATATTTAGACAGACATCCCTTAAGCCAGATGCGATTGAATTGGTAGCTCTCCAAGAGGTGCTTATAGGGTATTTCTTGCGTCGTTATTGCACATAAATGTTTCTTCCTCTTTTTTGTGGTTCTAGCTATAAAAATCCCAAATACCTCAGTTTTCTGTTTAGAATATCATTATAATATTTCATAATAGACAATTTCCTGAATACCAAATGAAATATTGCAAAAATGTGTGCTTGAATTCCCCAAAAACCTGATTAATTATGTTCGAAGCATTTAAGAAATGTGTGGATGATGGCAGGAAAACTAGAACAAAGAAACAAAAAACAAGAAAATAGAACGGAATAAGTAGATTGACAACAATGACCTGCTGCGGTGTTCCCTTGGCTCGCAAGGAATCTCCGGGCAAATTGCCAACAAAAAGCAACGCCAACACGACCCAGAGACAGAGGGACTACGTCTGCGAGTAAAAGCAGTTTGTGGGTTTGGTTTGGCAAAAGCAATTGCAACCAGTTTCTTCATAAAATATAAAACAATAAATCATGACTGTGGCTTTTGGGTTGTTTTCCTTATTTTATTCCCAGTTTAACTTCTGTTTTAAGGCATTATAGGCAGTTTTTCTTCGTTCCGTTTTCCCTGGCTGGTCCATTCGTTCAGTATAGGCTCTCCCTGGTATAGAAGCTGTCCCACACGACAAACTGTTTGCTCTCGGGCAGCGGAATAAACTCCAGGCCATCGGCAATGTTGAGGCACAGCTCGGGACCGCCGGGACGCAGGGGATCCCATTTGACCGGCGCAATGGTCTCGCAGTTGGGATCCCCGGTGATGGCAAACGATGTCCACATGGCAATCAAGCGTTCAATGGTCTGGTACTCGGGCGTGGCCTTGTCCAGCTTGCTGGAGAGTATGCCGTAGAACATATAGGAGATGTCATCGGCGTGGCAGACGCCGCGCACCTTCCGGCCGCACTTGAGGTTCCGATAGTGGTTGAAGTGCGGCGAGTCCATGTCGAAGCGGTACAGATAGGTGGCCGTGGCCGGGGCATAGACCGATCGGGCGAGCAGCGTGCGGTGGATGTCGTGCCAAAAGTTCTTGGTGCTCAGGATGTGCAGGCACTCGAACAGCTCCATGCTGCCGCGGTCGGGGTCACCAAAGTAGGCGACCTTCAGCCGGCTGACCATTTCGTTCAGCTCGTCCTGGTCGATGACATCGCGCACCTGGCGGGGAATGAGCGCCTCGAAGGCGCTTAGCATGTGAAGGGCATCCTGCAGAGTGGTCTGGTAGGAGAAGAGGCCCTCGAAGGAGTTGGCGCCGATGATCAGCGGCAGCGCATTGCCCCAGGCACTGGCCAGCTGCTCCTGCTGGGGCCGCGGCACCACACAGTCCTCCCCCACATACGGCTCGATGACCGGACCGAAGGCGATGATCTCATAGTCCCGCTGCTCCTCCTGCGTGATTATCGCATTGCAGTGAAGGGCCAGCTTGCTGCCGGGCGTCTCCTGCAGGAACTTCAGCAGTTCCTGCTCGTCGTCCTCCTGGCCCGTGTAGCCCAGTTTCTTGACCAGGCGCTGGGCCCACCGTCTGTCCGGCTCCGTGGCCCAGGCGCACAGCGCCGACCCGGATTGGACAATGGCGCGATGGAAGAGGCCACGCGTCTGGTCCGTCTGCATCATGATGTGCGTGGAGGCGGCGCCCGCGGACTCGCCCATCAGCGTCACATTGTCGGGGTCACCATTGAAGCTGGCAATGTTCTCCTTGACCCAGCGCAGGGCCTGCACCTGATCCTTGAGCCCTGCGTTACCGGGGACATTGAGAGAGCGCTCCTTGAGACTGAGGAAGCCCAGGACGCCAACGCGATAGTTGAAGGTCACCAGGATGACATCGTGCTTCATGAAGTAGTCCGGCCCGTAGAGATCCCGCGAGGCGCCACCGATCTGAAAGCCACCGCCAAAGATCCAGACCATCACGGGCAGCGGCCTCGTCGAGTCCAATCTCTTGGCGTACACATTCAGATAGAGGCAGTCCTCGGAGCCCTCGGCGGACATTGTGATGGAGTTGCGCTGCATGGGCTTCTCCCTCGCGTACGTGCAGTCCCTCACCCCCTGCCAGGGCTGCACGGGCTGGGGGGCGCGGAACCGCAGCTCGCCCACCGGCGGCTGGGCAAAGGGTATGCCCTCGAAGGCATGGTAGATCTCTCCGTCGTAGACGGTCCTCCGCTGCAGACCCTTCAACAGGCCGTATTTCGTTTCCAGCTGTGTGCTCTGATTCGTGCCCAGCCGGTATTGGATGAGCTTATGGCCGATGACTCTGAAAAACAGAGAAAAACCAAAGATGAGTCATCGTGCGGCCAGATTAAAAGCTGGCTTTTCAGCCCGAACTCTGAACTCACTTTGCTCCCAGCTTAACCTTGTCACCAAATCCCACACGTAAATCCATTTCGCTCTATGTACCCTATGTACTCTATACCCTACACTATACTATGTATAGTATTTGTATAATCTCCACCGACAGCTATGTGCTTACACTTCCAGCGCGGTAGAGTGCCACGCAGAGACTGAGAAACCATTCTCGCCGCTCTATGCCCCAGTAAAAGTTGCTGATAAAACTGTTTAGATAGCCACCACCACCCCCTCCCCCCAAGTGTGGGGCGTGGCGTGACGCCCGCCCACCGACCCTCCGACATCATAATTATTCCTGTTGGACTCGAGGCATTTGACGGAGCTCTGGAGTCCGTTCCATATGTGGATCCCTAGATAATAACAAATTTGAGTAGTACTCATTTAGCCAATCCCTAATTGCGTTCGGACAGCGAACACATAGGTGCATTGTGTTAGCCCCTCCGATAAGGCTGATAAGGTGTGGTTCGGTTCGGTTCGGTTCGATGAGGGGGAAATCAAATACAGAATCTATATTTATAGCTAATACAGAGAGCTATACAGAGATTATGGGGTAAGCCAGAGTAGGATAGTGGAAGGGAACATACATACAAATTGAAGAAATGAAGAAATGTTAATGGATTAATGGTAGAAACGCTCCAACTTTGTCTGCAGCAAAGACTCAATATCCCAATGAATGGTCATACATTTCTCTTTTCGTACGCAGACACCAAAGTTCAACGAATAGAAACAGAAATTTCTTCCTTTAAAATATTTTGCCTATTAATTTTAATTGAATGAAATAAATGTGTTCTAATATGATTATCTTTGCACTTCATTAAACTTAACCCCAAACGGGAAAATTGTTTCCTTAAATATCTTGTGAATCGTAAATATACAAATTTCTGTATTTAATTGTCGATGCCTGTGAGTACTTTGCTGTCATTAATTAAGCGCCAAAATGATATATGGAGTGGGCCTCCTCCCCAAAAGAGTATACTCTCAGGCATCCTTGTGATGACGTCAGCAGTGTAGGTGGTGGTAGGGTGTCTCTGACTCTGGCCGTCTCTTTCGTTGATTGTGCTCACCTCGCGCTCTCTCTCTCTCACTCCTTTTTCACCTCCTGCTCTTTGGTCTCGTCTGTGCATTAGTTAATTTGATTATTTCACACTTCGTCTGCTTTGAACCAACATTTAATTTTGCCTCAACGGAGCTTAGCTGCCCCCCTCTCTCTCTCTCTCTCGCTCGCTCTCTTATTCATCCTTTATTCGCTTTGTTGGTTTTGTTTACTTTGTGTCATTTGTTTGTTTGTGCGTTTACTCAACTTTTGTTATCGCTTTCGCCTGGTTTCTCTCTCTCGCTTGCTTACTTTTGTTTCAGTTTCTGTTTGCTGTTTGGACACGAAACATTCTAGCATTGAAGCACCCTCACTAGTATTAAATTAGTAAAGAACTTAACAAGTTAATCAAAGTTAATGCCTAAACAGTGTCTTTAATGTCTTGAATTGTATTGAATTTTATAAGCTCAAGCCTGTTTTCCTTTTAAATTCCCACCCCTTGAAGAAAAGCCTTCATTTCTTGTTATTTATACATATACATTTGTATGTATGTATGTATGTACATGCATGTACATGTCCCCTTGTCCCCCCCTGTATCTTTAATACTTTTTGTTGCTATTCCTGCTTATTTCCACAATATTTCGGCTCAGACTGTTGCCAGGTGGATTACTGGCAGAGGGGGGTCCTAAGTGTGTCTGAGTGCCCCCTAACCTGCACATTCTGCAGATTCCATTGACTAAATAAATAAATGCACCACAGTGCAATCTATTCTGTGGAGAGCATACGTTGTTGTCGGTGTGTGTGTGTGTGTGTGTGTGTGTGCCTGTGCGTTCGTTGCTTTTGTGTTTGCTCTGCTTTCGAGCCCAGGCCCAGGCGCCGCTGTTGCATTTGCAGACTACGCATTTGCTTCCCGTCGTTATCTTAGCTCCACATCTCCATCTCTCTCCCCTCCTCCTCGCATTCTGTCTTCCATTTGACTCTTGCCATGACGACCTCCAAGTGTCTGCATCCTCTTCTTCTTCTGCAAGGTATATTAAATAGAAGGGAAGGCCAGTCTTTGGTACTCTCTCTTTCTCGTTATAAATACCCCGCCAGAGTCCTCCTCCCCATCTTACTGCCTACTCCTTCGTCACCTTCGTTTTCCTCTTTGTGTTGTTTTTGGGGGCTCGTGTTTACATGAATGCCGCCAGCCACCGCCTACTTGTTAAAGGTGACGCGACCCTCGAGCTGCTCCCTGCCTTGTCCCACTTCCCTTTTTGTCGCTTGCTCGTGTTGGTTTTTGTCTACCACTCCTCTCTCTTCCCCTCCCCTCCCTCCCTTCACCAATCTGTGCTTGTGTTCGGAGCGCATGTAGAGATTGTTTTTTCAACTGTCCATTTTCCAGGGCTGAAAACCAACGAGTGTGGGAGCATGCAAAGAATTCAATGCAATTTGCATTTTGAAATATTTTTGCAATTAATTAAAATTTGAATTATTCGGAGAGCCTAACTTACTAATTGATAACATTTATTTGAATCATTGTTTATTGAGTAATTATTGAGTATATTATTATAATTATTATTAGTATTGTATCATGGAAATGTCTACAAATTATGCCATAATAATTGCTTGCAAATTCCATTATATTGTGATTTATTCATGGGGTTCTCTTCTCCTCCGTCACTCCTTTGCAATGTTTTCATAAACTAGTTCAGTCTGCAGCCTGTACGCTCCGCCCCATAGGCTTATATGGCCCTCCACTACTCTTTTTACTCGTAAAATAAGGTTCACTCCCCCACTGGTTCGTAAGCTAGTTCCCTCTGCAGCTGCTGCTCCTTTGCTTTTTGGTGTTTTTGTTTCGCCATTCGCCGCTTCAATTCAATTTGATTCAGTTCGTGCTTTGCCGCTCCGCTTTGGCTTTTCCATTCGTAGACTCGTGCGACGCCATCGCCGACATCGCAGTTAACGCCAGCAGCGGCTGCGGCTGCGACTTCGTTGTTTGTTTGTTTCAGTTGTGCGCTGCCCTGAGCGGCGTCGTCGGCGTCAGCGTCAGCGTCGTCGTTGCTTTTGTTTTCTTGCGGGGGCCCACAAGAATAACAAGAGAGCAGGGCTCCATCAGGCAAAGAGGAGCAGCGGGAGCAGCAGCGAAGTCAGCGCCAACGCCAACGCCAACAGAAAATTGCTTGCTTTGCTCGATCCGTTCTTGTCTGGCTCTGGCCCGCTGGTCGGCTGCGTTCGGTTGTTGGAGCATTCCGTTTTGTGACGCGCGCCGTCGGAGTCGCACGATTTTCAATCTCTCCCGCCGCAATCAGAGAAATCCCATACGCTTCAGTGTATTTGTGTGTGTGTGAGACGAGACCTTATCAACAGTGCCAATTGCGACAATCGCTTAATGAGACGAGGAGCCTGCTCTCTCTCTCTCTCTCTCTCTGTGTGTGTGTGTGTGTGTTCGTGCCTGGGGCGCATAAAATCAAAATTGATAAATGCTCAACTGGCAATAAAGTGTAACAAACAAGAATGTCAGCTATGTATGTCGTGTGTTAATAATAAAAGCAAACAAAAGTCACGGCTGTCAAAGCAGTTCAATGTCTCTGCCCCCTCTGCTTCCCTCCGCTGCCGCACACCGCACTCGCCGCAACAGTAGCCGGTAACGGTGGCAGTGCCGCAAAAAACTGGTTTTAAAACACCAAAAGCAACAACAAGTTAACGATGCCGCCTCGAAGTTTGCCCTTTTTCAGTTAGTTAATAGCCGGGAACCAAAGGGGCTCCACTGGAGGCTAAAAAGGTGTCACACTAGAGACGGTCGCGTGATTGATAGTGCAATAATCGCATCACTATCTATACTGTGTGTGTGTGTATCTGTGTCTTGTGTTAATTAAATTGCTTGACTGCAGTTCAATGATTTCCATACGGGAAATAATAAACAGCAATTGCCACAATTAATCCAATTGGAAGCACTTAAATCAATTAAATGAACACCCCTATTATACAAAGAAGCAAAGCCGTTATGAATATCGTTTTGCCCCCCATCCCTAGTGTCACAAGAGGGGTGGGGTTCAAGTTTTATTTCGTAGTTTTTTGTTGTTTGTTTCTGAACTCTTGTGCCTCCAACCTGTCGGAAAGTTGGCTGGGGCCATTAGGTGTCTCCATTGAGGGGGGAGAGTACATGCACAGTACATACATACATATGTACATGACTTGGTCGTGAAGGGGGCACAAGTCAGGAACGGCAGTAGCAGCAGCAGCAGCAGTCACAAATACCGTTTTTATTTTGCGCGTTTTTAAACACGCGCGCGTTTTTGCCATTTTCAGCGCGTTTCTTTGCCTTCCTTTGTGGCTGTGTGTGTGTGTGTGTGTGTGTGTTTACCGTTCTATAAATAAACCGTTTTATGTGCAGTCGTTTGCTTTTTACTTCGTCCTCTACTTCTACTTCTTCTCCCCCCTTCTCCTCCCCTTCTCCCACTTCTTCTTCTTCTGTGGGGGTCTGCTCGGCGAAACATGAGGAATTTTTTGTTATCGGTTGTTTCACGTGATTTATTTGCGTGCGAATCATGATTTATATCGCCTCAAAATAGCAACAATCGCAACGACTCTATACTCTCTGGCCCCTCTTTATAATGGAGCACGCACATTGGCGCTTAAGTGGGTCAAACAATAACTGGCACGCCCTCCTGGCTCTTCGTTTCGCACTGACTGTCCTTGTCTGTGGCCGCCCCACATTGACCCACTTGGGCGGGCGGACAAGGTTAAGCTTATGCTTGGGGGCGGGTTCTACCATTTGCCAATGAATCAATGAATCTTGTATACCCTTTCGCATGGGTACATCTGCCCATCAAAAACTGAAGTGTCTCCATGACGAACCTTGGAAAAAACACCATGGAAATGCCCCATTCCACCGAAAACCGTGGTGATTATAGAATGATTATAATCTTAATAAGGAATGAAAGGCCATTACCTTAAGCTCCATTGTCTAATTGCAGTTCATTTAATTAAAAGCTCAAACTATAATTATTCAAATGAGTCCCTTCCGTGGCATGCAAATCAGAATCCTCCTCTCCTCTAATGAGTTACTTTCACTCGAACACAAAAGTTTTATTATCGAATAATTGCACACAAGTTTTTCGCATTTGCTGTTGTCTTTATCTTTCGCCAGAGACCCCCTCAAATTGATTGTGTGGCAGGGGGGAGGGGGTTCCCGTGGCACTTGTAATTCCCGTTCCCTTTCGTGTGTGTGCCATTTGTGGCTTGTGCCCCGCTTAATTGCCATTGGGGGGTATGTGGTATGTGGTAGCAACAGGTGAGACGGGCGGGGTGGGGTGGGGTGTCGTGTCTCCTTGAGGAGGGTTTAATGAACGCGCGCCGCGCACTTCCATTAGGCCAACGGCAATGGGATGTTGACGCTGATAGCTGGCATGTTGCATGTAATGCATAATTAGTTACCTCTTAATCTGCTGCATCCACACTGATCGCGTGTGTTTGCGGAATTCCATGTGGCAAGGTGGGGAGTAGTGTGAGAGAACACCCCATATGGATACGGAACGGATACGGATGCATCATCATTATCATCATCATTAACATCATTACCATCATCATGAGCGTCATCCGTCGTCGCGTTCGCGTTTTATCCACGCCCAAGTGCACACACACACACGCACACACACACACACAGAGAGCGAAAGAGAGAGAGAGAGAGCAAGAGAGGAGCAGATGCAGAAGCAGAAGCAGTAGCAGGAGGAGAACGTTTATATCAGTTTCAATTAAATTTAATTTGTTTCGTGTTGTAATTAAGGTGCCACAGACGCAGACTCAGACACAGACACACACAAAATCCCTCTCTAATTAATCTGCCAACAACCCCAGCAGCAGGAACAGCAGCAACAGCAGCAGCTTCAGTGTTTAATCAAATGTGATTCATTCAATCTCAATCGAAAACCATTAAGCAATTGAAATTATGCAAAGAAAATGATTCACATAAATACAAACCATTTACAAATACAGCAAAGTGATTGAGTGATTAGTGAATGCCCAGCTCTCTCCCTCTTTAAAATGGCCCAAAATCTCACCGTTGTGGTGGGCGAGGGCGGCCACGGCCACACCCACAATAACAATAATTGCTGCATCAATGAGAACAGCAGCACCAACAACAACAGCACCAGCAACTCCTCAGGCGTCGGTTTTAAGCCAAAGGATACGAATGGCTGGCGGGAATACAGGAAACTAAAAACCTATCTGATCCTCAAGGATCAGCAAAGCGCGAAGGTAATTTGAGGAATCCAACTCTAAAAGTGCAATATTTGTTTATTTGATGTTTAATGTTTAAGGAGCAGGAGCCTTCAGCTTGAGGAAGGTTGAATTCTAGATTTCATTGCAACTGAAGATACTTTGGAGTATCCAAAGTATCTACGGCTTGTACCCACACTCGGATCATTCACGAATACGTTTACAAACAATGGCAATCGCCTCTAATGGAAACCGTTCTGCAAGGCATCAAACACGGGACTCACTCACTCACTCAACCGCTCATTAAATCAATCAATCAATATTGACCCAAATTAAAGCCAAAGCAAACACTCGAAAAACCAAAACTTGAACATGATTCATGTTTGAGAACTTATAATCCCCAACACAAAAAAATATAAATTAATTAGTGGAAATAAATTCCACTTTGGCTACTTATTTATTTCTACTCAAACAAACAACAAAAACGCTGAAAGCGAGAAAAAACTTTTGTATAAGACAAAAAAAAAAAACCCACACAAACAGAAACAGAAATCATTCCCCAACCGCAATAGTGCTGTCTCTCCATCACTTGGGGGCTATTTTATGCTTCATAATTAACAAAAAACAAACGAAACGAAATAAAAGTTATGAAAGAACAGAGATAGAGAGAGAGACAGAGAGAGAGAAAAAAGTTGTTCATAAAAAGTTATTAAACGGTCATGACCCCCATTGCCATTGCGGCTTATCAACGGGCATGAAAAGCACAAACAAACAGCGAACAAGAAGGCGGTAGAAGAAGAGCGGGGAGGGGAAGAAGTTTTGTGGGAGGCCGAGCCAAGCCGAGCCGACTGTGGTTTACCCAGTATTTATTGCCTTTAAAAAACGTAAGAAATGGAAGAAATATTACAGATTTTTGTGCTCTAATACTCCACGATTGCTGGGTATCCCATGACGAACTTGTTTTCCCATAAAGCAAATTGTCAGACGTTCGATGGCGGCACGCATGGTAAGCGATAAGGGGGCTGGAGTGGGTTGGGGAGAGATGGAGTTGAGTGGAGTGGAGTTGAGCGGAGCGGCCAGAACAGAAGCAAGCGACGCCATCGAAGCCATGGATCAATAAATATAGATGACATGGCATTGTCCAGATTGATGGGAAGCGATATGTGTGTGAGTCGCCGCATGGCGAGCCAAACAAATAAAATGGAAACAGACATGACAGCGCACACAGAGACACAGAGACAGAGATACAGATACACGGATACCCGAAGACACATTTGTATCCACAAGGAACTCAGGCCGTTCCATTCGGTTGTGTAATCGAAATGCGCGCGCCCCTATCGATGTCAAAAAATCTGACACACAATGAAATGGGGAAAGTAAACAAACAATTAAATTTTCTCGGTGCCTAATAAAATAAATGAATGAACGCTCTGGCCCTCTCATGCCTCGTTCCTCCTTTTGAGCTGTCTAGATATGAAGATACAACAATATACAGACACAGCTGATGCCTAGATACATAAATTGTGTCGGTTGCCATGAAAGCGATGGAGAACGTGAAGATTTGCTGGGAAAATACATTTGTGTATGTTCAGAGAGGGAAATATTCAACTAATTTCGGGAAAACGGCACTTGGGCGTATACGTAATATGATAAATGCCGTCCCGTCATTGTTGTTGACGAGCCATGATGCGCGTGTGGCAGTGTGGCAGGGCGGCAGGAGGGTGGCCAGATTGCGTATATTAATTTGAACAAACACAAATGACGTCTCTTTATCCCCCCAGGCGTCCATCGTCTGACAGGTCGTATACGCAACGAATATCTGTTGTCTGTGAAGCAAGGGATTTTATTAGTACAGATATTATATTAGTTAAATCTCTTTAAATTTATAGTGTTTTGGAATAATTTAAAGCAGCTTTTGGGAGCAATCAAAACACTAACTTTTACATCAGGCACACGCAATGTTTATTGTTTTCCCATATCTCGGGCCTTCTCTTTGCCGGGATTCGCTTGAGCATCGAGCATCCATGTGCCGCGGAGCAGTTTTACAGCCAGATGGCACCACAAAATGTTTTATTCATACTCGTACGCTGTGTGTCAATCCATCAATCAATTCGAAATGTAATTCATCAAAGTCGTTGATGTGTCGGCGGCATCTTCTAGAGAATGAACTGCAAATTGCAATCGAAACGGGCTAACAGACCTCCTCAAATTAGAAGCCCAGTTAGCCCGGTTTGTTTCTATTTCTGTAAGCGTAAGTGCGATCTGTAAATAGGAAGATCTTTCCTTTCTTCTACCTGGTTACCGATCTGCTCTGCGGGTGCCCGAGACCCCAAGATCTGAGATCTAACAGTTGTTTGCTAAAAATCGCCACGGTGTTAATCGATTTTAAATGGTATCATATTTGTATGCTTCACGCCCAAGCTGTGGTGCTTATATAAGCCTGCTAATTGAAACTGTAAATGTCCGGACCGGCCAACTAATGACTAATATGAGATCGTGATTTGTATCTTCGTTCAGGCCTCGCACAAACCGGAATCGGAGCGTTCCTATATGTTGCGCAAACGTCCGACTCCAACAGCGGCAGAGAGAACCACCTTTGTGTGCTATACCTGCGGCACGGACACGCCCTCGTCACAGCTGCGGCTCGTCTACTGCTGCCCCAATGCCGAGCGGGAGCCCTACTATCCGTTCATCAAGACCATGAAGGTCTACAAGAACGCTAGTCCCATCAGTCCCCAGGGTAAGTGCACTCAATTATTGGCATTGTCCGCCCTGTAATACCGCAACTAACCGAATTATTTCCCGCTACCCACACCAGGCATGGTCCAGGTCTGCTCCAGCTGCAATGAGAAGCACAGCTGTTTGGCCGAGGGTGGGCCTCCTGCCTCCGGCCCCGTCGGAATCACAGCACATCCTGTGGGCGGCTCTCCCAGTGCCGGACACTCGCTGGAGTCCAGCACGGCGCTGTATAGTTCGAGTGGTGCGATGGCCGCATTTGGGGGTCGCAATTCCCCATCGGAAAAGTCGGTGGCCAATTCCGATTCCACCAGCAATGTGCGGTTTAGGGTAAGGATGGAAAAATCGATGGAAAGCGATATAAATCGATATCTTTTCGGCTGTAGGGGACAGACACACACTCGATATCTGATAGTTTAAGACGAAATGTGATTGAGAATTCTGATAAACTTGGGAAGTACCGCAAATAACCGATTCGATTCCTAGCCGGTAACATTTTGCGTACTTCCGTTTACATTCAATGTGTACAATCGATCCCAATCGATTCTCAATAACAATTTGTGCCGTAATCCAATGTGCAATATATGCAGCATACACGTAGGTACTAGTGCATATACGAGTGTACGGATGATGCCAGTGGCGTATCGGTTAAATGCGCAAACATGGAAATTTACTAGGAAGAGCGAGTGAGCGAGAGATAATAGATAATGTGCGTGTGTGTGTGTACAAATATAGAAAGAGTAGTGATTGCCGCTTGTTACAGCGAAATGTGGGGGCAGGGGATGAGCCTCGCACCCGATCCATCGGGTCAGTAGCAGCTCCTACTTTAGCTGCAATCGGTAGCTCTGGCCAGGCGATAACATTTCGAGCGATTAGCGGCCACCCCACCCATTTGCCCTCTGCGCCCGGCCACTGATAACCCCCATTAATGGGCGATGGGGCGTCTGGGTATGGACGACTCCAAGATAGATGGCTGGTTCACGACCTGGAATTGTTGAGTAATTCATTTGAAGGCAGAAGCCTGCCGCTCCCACTCCCTCTCCGTCTCCGTACCGCTATATCAATTAGAGACGAGCGAGGCAGCTCTTGCGCCTTATCATTCTGGCTATGCTCGGAGCGTGCTCGGCAACCACTTGGATCGTCAGCATGTTAACCAATTTGAGTCAACAAATGTCCGTCCAACCGATTAGATAGCCGGAATACACACGGCAGCACTGCATGCTCTCCGCTCTCCCCCTCTTCTCTGCCGAAGAAAGACATAAATATAGAGCAGGCTATAAACGGAGAGGGGGGGAGAGGTGAAGCCGCACGAAATCATTGTATAAACAAACCCTGAGATCCAGAGAGAACCACAATTCTGTCGTGGGCTGCGTTTGTAGACAAAAAAAAAACAAAAAAAAAACTGGGTAAACTTGGTCGAGTCCGAGTCAGTTTTTTTTCTTCCAGGCATCTGCTTTGAACCGGTTTTCGTTCATTTTTTTTTTTGCTTTTTTTCGGTTTTGTTAATTCTACTTAAACACTTTTTATTTATAGCCGATTGTTTTTTCTTTTCTTTTCGTTTCAACATTCTAGTTTTTGTTTATTTTTGATTTGTTTTTGTTTTCATTTTGCTTGAAATCTGAAAGACCAGACGTCGCCTCTTCCATAAATTATTAGCCTTCTTCTTTATTGCATTTCTTCAGATACAATGTATTATCGTATATATATAGTATATAAAACAGTTTTGTTTATTACTTTAATCTGCAAATGTTTGTTCTCTGGGAATAGCTTAATTTGTCTTTCGATTTTGTTTTCTTTGTTTGATTTATAGTTTTGGGGATTGGTTCTGGTGTTTCCTGTGCGTGTGGCTTTCGTAGATTGGAGGCCATGGCAACCTCCTAAAAGTACTCTTATTCCGAGAAACACGACCTTGAGTGAGAGTTGAACGACACGACTCACGACTCACGACTGACGACTACTCTGCAAAGTATTTGCTTAATTTATTTGCCATATTTCATCAGAAATAAAGCCTCTGTTTCTGGTTCTGGTTCTGTTTCACTTCCAATTTCCATTTCCATTTCTGTTGGCTTTGATTAAACAGAATTCGGTTTGTTTGATGAGCATGTTGGGCCAATAATTCATCTTTGAACAGGTGCTGGAGGCAGTTGTTCCATTTTATGTATCCGTTTATCCACTGGCTAGAGTCTGTGCAGTGGAGTACACGTGTGTTTCTGGGGGTTTATCCAGGTCATTGCACAATCGGTCGGTCGTTGTTTTCGAAATACGAAAATTAAATATAGATAAATGCAAATATTTATCAATGGTGGGGTAGCAAGAACCAAGCGCAATATTTAATTAATTCATTTCGAAATGTTTTCATTTGCATTGTTTTATTGGTTTTCTGTTTTGTTTCTCTGTTTTTTACTTTATTATTCCCCCACTCCTACGCTCCTCCCTGGAGACCGGCTTTCAATAGCAAATGTTTAGATTGTAAAGAATTTGTTTTATCCACAGCCATATAGCCACATCCATATCTTTAGCTCTGAATCCCCCCATTTAACACATGCTTAAAGATCATAAACGTGTACAAACGGCTGGCAAGTCGAGTCATTCAACCTTCTTGAATAGTAAATAATATAAGGCCATAAAATGATCGAGTACACTTATCTTTAAAAGAAGCAGAGCAGTACGTTTTTGTATGGTGGATGTTGGGTTTTTATTCCCATTAGATTTCCTCGTAATTTAATCTAAAAATATTAGAAACACACCCATATTTAAATTGAATATTCGGCCTTAAAATATAAATATAGGGAAATTAATTTGAATTAATTTATTTAAAAGTCTTTTTAATATGGCTCTCATGTCATCTGAATTCAAAACACTTTAAAATAAATATAAAATATTCAATTTATAAGAAATATATTTTATTAAATATGAAATATATTTAATTTGAAAAAGGAAATATATTTTTTTTGCCTAAATAATTTTTATTTGTATTACTTATATTTATTTAAATGTGAAAATATTTAATTTAAATATAAAAGTGTTTTTAATTTAAATTTTAATTTATTTTTAAATTAAATACGAAAAATATTTGATTTAAATATTTCAATTTCCACCCTTGGAGCAAATCTTTCTGTAAAAAATGTTAATTCCAAGTACAAATAGGGTTTTTGTCTTAAGATACGAGTATTTCCTTTCAACTCTAGCTGTAGTTCCCGTGTCTTCCCTTGAGAAACTTACGATATTCTTCTGTTTTCTGTTTGAGTACGTTTTGGCTTTCTTCTGCGACTCTTCTTCCCACTTGTCCACTTGGTACGGTCCATCTTCCCACAATTGAAGTTGAAGTGGACGACTGGACAATGACTCAAATGACACTCGAGAAGCCCACCAAAAATTCCAATTTTATACAGTGCTGACATACATCAGAAAACGTCAAAGAGATGAGGCCAAGTCGCGAAGCAGTGAACGGGAATCAACAAGCGATCTACTTTCGCAGGCAGGGCCTCAACTTTGAACTCTATCGGTGATTGTAATTAGTCGCAGGAGATAAGAAGACTTTTGATTGGAGGAGATTGTTGGCTCACGCAATCTCTCTATGTCTCTCTGTCTCGCTCGCTACCTTTCTCTTTCTGTGGCTCGAAATATAAGTCGCAAATCGAAGGGAGATAAGTGAAACCGAACACGGTTCGGACCGGTTAGGGGCGGTTCTATCGGCCAAATCGGACACAGTCCATCGCCAGTCATAGTCGAGTGGCTACTCCTTGAATAGCAAATCAATTGTATACAATATTTAATAAAATTCGGTTCGTTTTTTTCTTTTTCCGCTGATTAGATAAGGCCTAAAGTGTGCATTTGGTTGATGCTTAGACCTGGGGACTGCCGTATCCGTACCGGTTGGGTGGACAGTCTGTGCGCGATATTCTTAGAACAAATACAGAAATAGCCCATACAATAATCTCTAATATTACCATACCCATTCCTCCATTGATAGCCGTACGAGACGAACTCGAACAATTCCAACTCGAACACGGCACGCGACCTCAAGCCGATACGCCGCAGCGATTCCCGGCCCAACTCCCCCAGCTCCAGCCAGGGAGCCATCGAGAATGGCCATGGACAGTATCCGTGAGTACCGTGCGCCTTTTTATGCTGTTTACATCTTTTAATTGAGTTTACATTTTCTCTGCAGGTGCTCCATTTGCAAAGTGCTTTGTCCGTCTAACAAAATGGATTGGCTGTCCACCAGTGCGGAGCATATGAATTCCCATGCCATGCACTTTCCCTGCCTCAAGGCCAATGCCGCTGCCACCAGCAATAACAATAATAGTAATATTAACAATAATAGCAACAGTGGCAACAGCAACAGCAGCAACAATAATAATAACAACAACAATAACAACAACAACAACGAGTTGAACAGCAATCGCGTGCTGGCCTGCAAGGACTGCAAGGATTACTTGGCCAGCCAGTGGGAATCCATGGATGCCGAACGTGTACCCCTAGAGCACAGAAGGTTTTCTTTCTTTCCCATTCGCATTCCCTTTTACCTTGAATTTCTCTAAAGAATGCTCTATTGATTATATTTCCGTTTCCCTTGCAGATACAACATTCCCTCGCCCATGATGACATCCAGCTCACCGAACGGATCTCGGCACGGCGCCATGAGCATCAATACACCGCCCTCCACACCATCCATATCATCATCGACGCCCGCCAGCACATCAATCTATTGCTTCCTCTGCGGCCTTCACTCGGACCTCACTCTGGCCAGAGTCCTCTATGCCAGCAAAGAGGTAGAGTCTCTCAAGAGAAAGTCTGAGCTGGGAGAGTATTAGCGATAATTGTGTTATAAGTGAAGAGAATTCCTAGATAAGCAGGGGGGATATGAGCAAGATGTTCAGAGTTTTTGTAAATGATACAGTAGTTTTAGAAAGAGCAGAAAGAGCCTTGATGAAGGCGATATATACACAGCGGAGGAATGTCTATAATAAGTCAAATTTCTAGTGCATTGTAGCGGGATTATGTAAATGAAGTATGCACTGTGCACTGTAGGAATACTTCCTAAATTTGCTTGTATTCCAAAGACTCAACGCAATCATTGTTATTGTCTTTCAATCATTTGGATTTGTCTTTAAATCTGTAGATGTACACGATGCTAGATATCGTTTGATAATTAACCTAACAATGCTGCCGGTCTGTTAATTGTTTGAGAAACTAATATTGCAGTATTCATGTCGATGCGTCTTTGTCTTAAATTTAATTGAAATGATTTAGTAAATGTGGCAACAAGATATCAAAATACGCCCCCGAGTCCATGACAGATTGATTGAATTACTAATTGGAGTAAATGTATATCAAATTTATCTGCCATGCTGCACCTAAAATCGAGACATTTAGAAATATTCAAAAGATACAAGCCTCAATCAGTCATATTTAGGCTTTGCCCTAGACATTAAGCCATTTAATTGATGTTTCGGCTGCACTGCTCGCCTGACCTTCCCTTCGATTCAGGTCGCATTCTGAGATTACGTTTGTGTGCGCATATTATTTGTACACATCGCTTGGCAAACATGTAATTTGATGATAACTGTAGGGATTTTCCCAGGCCACCAGCGATGTCAATCAATATAGATAATGAGTCCGCTGATGATGTATCCATTAGAAGTGATTAGATACAGGGATCAAATGTTTTACGATTGTTTCAGATAGGCCCTGGAATGGCGTACATCCGTTGTAGATAGCAGCCTATAAATACATATATCATGCTAGTTGCATTAATTACTTAAATTATTCATTCGATACTGTTTCGATTGTAAGAATATTTAAGTTCTTCGTTCTTTGAGCATCTTTAAGTGTTCTTTAAGTATATTTTATGGGTTTATGTGTACCTTTTAGTATATTTTATCTTTTTTTAAGTATCTTTTATGTTTCTTGGAGCATCTTTCATTGTTTTACCAGGCTTTGGACATCTTGTTTTTATCATTTAGTATCTTTCGTGGTTCTTTTCGTATTTGTATCTTCCTTTAAGCACTTAAGGCAACATGGTGTACGCATAGTTGGATTCTCTGAATTCAGATATTTATTCAACCTAATTTTGTATACTCTTCCAGGGTTCGCGGCCTTATTTTCCCCTGTTGCTGAAACACAATACGCTGCCGAATGCCGAGCAGCTGAGGAACAACTCGGCTTTGGTCTGCACCTTCTGTTATCATTCCATGTTGAATCAGTGGCGCAAGTGAGTCACCCAACCGCACTCTATATATAGAGAACATCTAATAATTGTATGCCGATTGCTTGACAGATATGAGGCGCAAAGTCCGAGCGTGAATCCGACGGAACGCAAATACAATTGGCACGACTACAACTGCCACCTGTGCGGCATTACGACTTATAGGAAGCGGGTGAGGGCCCTGCCCGTCAATGACTTTCCATTTGTGAAGCACCAGAAAAGCGACGACGGGCTGCTGCTGGAGAACGGAGAGTTTGCCGTGGTCTGCCTCGACTGCTACGAGAGCTTAAGGTGAGAGATCAGAGAGCAAACAGATGTGATGTGATGTTCAGCCAACTAACTGAGACGTGTGCTTGTTTCCTTTCACAGACAACAGGCCTCGCAGCACGACCGCTTCGGGGTGCCCATATCTAGGCGGGCCTACAATTGGGTGCCCCAGCCGCCGCCCCCGGAGGACAGTCCCGAGTCCGCAGTGGCACGTCTGCCCTGCGGCGAACGCTCTGATCGCATTGTGAGTAGAGAATGAGAGGGAGAGGGAGAGCTACCTGCCAAACTACCCTAACTAATATCTGTATTGAAATCCCGCCTTCGCAGCTCATCAGCAATGCCCTGAGGCCCGTGCCAGGCAAGAAGACCACGTCGCCCAAGCAGTACGACAAGTCAAAAGAAGGTAAGTGTCTCTGTGGCTCCAAAATGGGGGAATCCGATCTGGTTCTAGTAATGCGAGAGGCTCCTCAAGCGCCCCAGGGCGAGCAGGTTCAAGTGAAACCCAATTCGCGTCAATAAATCTCAATTGGTTTCACTTAACTCTGAGCGTTGAGCGTTTTCCAGCTCGGTTTGCTCGGTCTCGGCTTGGTCAGTCCAGTAATAGCCTTAGCCCCACCCCCCAGAGAGGAACCCTGTTCGAGGGGTGGTTTGGGCGAATTGGTGGGGGCAGCGCTGCGTATTGGGTTGCAAAGTTTACGTTGGGGGCATCCAGCACGGGCCAACATTTGCGGATTATTTTGTATTTTTTGTATACACAAAAGAGTTGAGCATTTGTGGGGAATCTGTTCAGTGGCCTCCCCCTGTGTTTGGATCTATCAATGCACTGCCGCTATCTGCATGTGGCACACTCGTCCCGAGAATGACACAGACACAAATTGGACAAAAGTTGAACAGTTTTATAGTTTTTGGAAAATTGTCAATTGATTGTTTGTGTAGCGGGGAAATGACATGACAAATTGTGTAATTATGGATTTGTTTGAGAAGAGAATCCTCATTTATGTTGTGTTTAGGAAACACACAAATACTCTTGAAGGACTCAACAGTAAATCTGTTTAAAGATACGAAAATGTCGAATGTATTCTATATACTTATTCCCACACACCTAAATTATTGTTAAACCTAAAGATGCAATAATTGTGCTTGTATATTTAAATGGAATCATTAGTTCACTGGTATATCGTCTTTGTAAATAGCACCGCCGTTTACTTGAGAACAACTCTACATTTTAGTGGAGTGCTCGTACTACGAGAATATGTGTAAATTATGTCGATTATCAACATGAATGAATACAAAAAAAGTGATTCTTTAGTTGTCTGTCAGGGCATTTGCTTATAAAGCTGTGTGCCAGCAATGTGCCAGTAACATATCTCCAAATGGATCTTCAATTCAGTTGACTATTGTATTTTCGAATGCATAGCACACTCGTATGTGCTATGAGGCCCAACCAATTCTATCAGCTGATCAGCTCTTTATCCCCACTAGAGTCGAAATGTTGGAGAGAACTGCCTTTTCTTTACATGATTTTTGAATGGAACTCAACTTTTCCAGCTCTTCGCTGTTGACCGTGTAATCCAGGATTATTTCTGATGAGTCTACTTTTTGAAAAAAGTCTCTCTCTGGGAGTTTTCTGTAAACACCACCACATAGAAATACACGTTAAGTACAGCTTGAACATATGTACAAATGGTTTTCAAGCCGTACTCAAGTATATAAATATATACATATAAATGTGGTGGTGTTTCCAAGTATCTTCCTTTATCTTTATCCTTAATCTCTTTATCCTTTTTGTTCTAGTTGAGTTTTTTCAATTGTTGCACACATATTTCTTAATGGATATTCAGTTGAATGTAAATTTCCGTTACGCCATAGTTACAAACTCGATATGTATATGGTTGCAATGGAAACATTTCAAATATTCCAGTTGTGATTCATTTGCAATTCTTTTATTGACTATATTGCATTTTTTGTGTACCCTTGCAGGGGGTATTGTGATTTTCACCACACAAATGCATCTCCAATGCAAAAATAGTAATACTTTCGATGATATTTTTTCAAACATAAAACGGAATCAACAAAATATAATATCGTATCATATGGTACGCTATGATATCAGAAACCGACGTTCAAAATGAGAACAAAAAGCAATAGAATTACCCTTTTTCTAAAGATATTTCCAACATCATCATCAAACATTATAGTTTTATAGGAATGATAGATCGGAAAGGGTATCAAAAGCTTCGGTTCGCCGGACCCCAAAGGATTCAAGGATTTTATTTATTTAAAATTGTTTTTTTTTTAATTTTATTTTTGTGCCCCCTTAGGGGACACACACACCCACATATAGCACTAGGAAACCCTGTACAATAGAATACTCGTAAATACAAACCCCATTCCCCATCCCCATCCCTCAGCCATCTCGGAAAAAGTTTCTCTAATTGCATTTCCCAGTATAAAAGCAAAGAAAATAAGGGCAAAAAGAACCTCAAGTTGAATAAGAAATCAACTGATTAAATGCCCAATCACAGGGTCGAGGGGTGGGGAGGGGGCTGGTGATGGGTTAGGGGTGGCGAGGAAGGAGGTGGTGATGGCAAGGACCATGTACCGTGCACCACTAGCAGCTGTAATAAATATTGATTTTTTATGAATTGCAATGAGGCGGACTGGGTGGGTGGTGAAGGGTGGCGAGGGGGGCAGGGGGGCGGGGGGCTATGTGCTTGTTAGCACTTCCTCTCTCCCCCCCCCCTCTATCCCAGCTCTCAGTTATTTATGCAAGAGCAATGGCGTCGGTAAACTTCTTCAATAAAATGCCAAAAAGGAAACATCATAAAAATAAATAAACAGAGAAACCACAAAATACACAGATACAGATAGAGCCTTAGCCCCCCCTCTGTTTGTGTGTGTGTGTGCTCGTTTATGCGGCTACCCCCTGGTTCTACACCACACACACACACACACACACATATATATATACCGCATACATTCCCAGAACCCACCTACAAATGCCACTTCCGACAACAGCAATCCGTAAAGCAAAAGAACGAAAGATGGATGGAGAGAGTGGGAGAGAGTGGGGGAGAGAGAGAGGGAGCCAACGAGAAAGCACAAATAATAAAAGCAACAGCATAAAGTATTTCGAATTGAATTACTCCGTGTTATCCTGTCAACCATACGAAAACACTCAAGACCCATTCAACATGCCACACGCTTCCTGCAGCAGCAGTGCCACAACGGACCAGAGAGCCCCACCCAAAGCCCCAGCCTAGGCACCGGCCCACCCATCGTTTAAGGAGTTGGCATCGATTTGCAAAAAGTATATTGCCACCCGAATGTGGGGGTTTGCTCCTGTAGCAGCTGCCACCCACCCATCTTCTGCGCTGCTCTCAATAAAATGAAGTTGTGCCCCACAGAAGAAGGGCGAAGGTGGTTTTCCCTGGAGTGGGTGGACTGGGTGGGTGGTGGTTGGTTATGGAGGAGTTGAATAAGTAAACATAAAACCACTGAATTTACGCTTATTGCACCCGCAAACATTTTGTTTAACACAACAGCGGGACAGACAGCTCTCTCTCTCTCTCACTCTCCTTATACGGCCCCCTCTCTAACTCCCTCTCCACCCTCTCTCCGTCTGTGCCTTCTCTCTTTCGCTTGTGCCCTCTCTCCCTCTCACACACACACACACACACATAGTGGTACGTGTGGGTGTCATTTCCGGCCTCAATTTCAAAAGAAGCTCAAATTTCCACACAATTTTCCGGCTTCGCTCTTTGGCACTTTTGTTCGTGTCGTCTCGTCTCCTTTCGCTTCGTTTCGGCTCGTACGCTCTCTGACTCTTGCCAGAGGTGGCCTGTGGCCTTCCCCAGCCCCTGCCACAGGACAGTCATTTCCTCGTTGCCACTTGTTCAGTCAGTCACTCAGCAAAGGAGGAGTCCCCAGCACCGCATCCTGTTCGAGCCACAGCCACGCCACTCCTCCACTCCTCAACTCCTCCACTGTGCAACCGCACGGCCCAGACCCAACTTCGTTTTGTGCTGTTGTTGCAGCCTTTGGTTGTGCTTTTTACTTGTGCCACATCTTGTTGGTGAGCAGAGGAGTAGGAGTCCACCTCCTCGGCCCAAGTTGCCACCTTTGCCACAGAAATATTTCAAACACTTGCACCACACTTCTGGCTCCTGCCGCGTTCCCTCGTTCGCTTCCGCTTTGCGTAGAATAACAGTTACATTATCCTTTTTATTGCCACACTTTCCAGACACACACACACACACCCACAGACACATATTTATACATATAGAATGAAGGCAAGAGACGGCAAGACTGTGTAGAATGAGAGAAAGAATGAAACAGAAATACGGCGAAGGAATGAAGAAGGGTAGGAGGGCGGGAGGGTAGTCGAGCCCAGACACAGACATATTTGGCTTGTGGCAAGCTACGACCTACCCCGACCCCCGACCCTTGCCTTCCTTTCAGTTTATTGTGCTCGCATTCCCCATTCCCCATTTCCCGCCTCGCACTGCCACACTCGTCCGTTCCCCCCTCTCTCTCGTTCTCTCATTCACCCATTCTGTCACTCTTTCTCCCTTGCTTCCAGGAAATTGTGGGCAAAAAATGTGCATTTATATTTGCCCATACCCCCCTCTCGCTGTCTCTCTCTCTCTCTGTGCTTTAGTATCTGGGTTTGTGTGTGTGTGTGTGTGTGTGTGTGTTTGTGTTAACTCGAGTCGGAGTAAATTGTGGTAAACACGAAGCCAAGTGTTTGGAGAGTATTTACCCAGCTATGCCCCACAGTGGCTCTGCCTGCACGCACAGTGGGTCGCATCATCATTTGCATAATTGGCAAACATGATTGCAAGTTGAAAGGTTCATAAAAGGGGAGTGCCAGTGCTGCATAAGGATTGCTGTACGTATGAGAGTGTTGCGTACAACAGAATTATGTAAATTGAAAAAAAAAAAGAAATAATTTCTGGTTTGAGGTTTGAATATTCAGTACAATCGATGGAGGTAGGAGGAATTAACATGGATATAAAATGTAAATTTACTCCCAGAAATGGAAGAAATTTTAGTGATTTTTAAGGAATACTTAAAGGCAAGTTACATATTTTTTCCAATATTTATTAGACGGCTGAACCATTTTAATAGATGCATATCACCAACCACACATCAGACATATGTTTTTCCAACAGTTTGCACAAAGTTCAGCAATCTACCAGCTACCAAGTACCAACTACCATCTACCATCTAGCATCCTTATTGATTTGCATAATATGGCAGTTTATTGTGTTGTTATTGTATTGTGGTAGTGTAGTGTGTATTTGCCTGTACATCTTTTTCTAGCAACTCGTCGACTTACAACTTCATCCCCATGTAATCATCTGCTGGGAGCACAGCTGATTTATCTCTCCGCCATCGAGG